GTAGGTATCATCTGCAATAAAACTGGCCAAACTGAAATCTATATTTCTGACCATTACCAGCTTATTCTGTATCAATCAGTTGCCCTCTCAGTGACTTACCACTTTCCCAATTGTTGGGCTATCTGCACATTTCTTCAGTTAAGGGTCTTCCTACCCAGTTTTTAACAGAAATATTACTATTGTGAAGCTGACAAATGGTGTCTCCAAGAGTCCACTGCAAAAGGCACAGTTTAGCAATGATTTTTGGTATGTACATACTTGTGGAAGCTTAACTATTAGAGAACTAGGAATCTTTCTGTATGTGCCTTGTTGCTTTTGTATCAGCTGATTTTTTTAATCAAGCTGCCATGTAGTACCAAGCAAAACACTTTTCAAAGGTCCAGTCATGTCATCAGCATTACTTTAAGCAATGCAAAGTTTGATCACACCAAAGATGATGTTGGTTGCTTTGAAAATATTTTTAGCCACAAAACCACTTGGTTACCGTTAACTGCATTTCTTTCCTCCCTTTATTTCTGGAGTCTGTCATAGATATTGCATTATTTGATTTCAAAGTGCTGACAGCTGAACTGGTCTGTAATGTCACAGGTCATTCTGTTTGCCCTGCTAAATATTTCCAGACTACAGTTTCCTACTACAATTACTTTGGTATCTTTTCCCACTTTTCAAGGTTTATTAAAATCAACAATATTAATACAAAACATGCTTAAACAACCAGCTCTTTTAAAACTACCTATACTATGTAGTTGAACATGAGCCAGCAGTGTGCCCAGGTGGCCTGGAAGGCCAATGGCATCCTGGCTTGTATCAGGAATAGTGTGGCCAGCAGGAGTAGGGATGTAATTCACCCCCTGTGCTCAGCACTGGTGAGATCTCATCTCGAGTCCTGTGTCCAGTTCTGGGCCCCTCACTGCAAGAAGGATATTGAGGTGCTGGAGCAGGTCCAGAGGAGACAACAAGGCTGGTGAAGGGAATAGAAGGGAAGTCTTACAGGGAGAGGCTGAGGGAGCTGGGGTTGTTTAGCCTGGAGGAGACTCAGGGGGGAGCTTCTCACTCTCTACAACTACCTGAAGGGAGGTTGCAGGCAGGTGAGGACTGGGCTCTTCTCCCAGACAACCAGTGACAGGACAAGAGGGCCTGGCCTGAAGCTGCTCCAGGGGAGGTTTAGGTTGGATATTAGGAAACACTTCCTCATGAAAAGGGTGATCAGACATTGGAATGGGCTTCCCAGGGAAGTCGTGGAGGCACCATCCCTGGCAGTGTTTAAGGAAAGGATGTAGCACTTAGTGCCATGGTCTAGCTGATGTGGTGGTGTTAGGTCAGAGGCTGGACATGATGATCTCAGAGGTCTTTTTCAGCCTCCATAATTCTGTGATTCTGTTGCTCACTGGAATTTTTTTTTTTTCTCTGTTTCCCCTTGTGTAGTATATTTCTGATTATAAATATGAAGGTATCTCTGGAAGTTAAACTTTCTCCTTTCTAAGGAGAATAATTCCTTTTTAAGGTACAATTCTTGCCCATTCCAGTGGTGTGAGTGGCTGGGAAAACATCTCTTATCATTTGCTTTACTGTTCAGGAGAAAAATTTCCAGCTTTATTCTCTCCAGCTTCTTCAGCTATTTTGGTGTTGTAATTGCTAGTTATTTTACTTAGATTATATGTAGATGTATAAGAAGCAAGAAGTCTTGACTGTCACAAGATTCTGGAAAATTCTGCATTTAGTGCAGGAAAAACGGAGATCAAAAGCAGATCAAAAAACTCATCAAAGCCTTATGGGGTTTTGTTGAGGGGAAAAAAAACGTTGAAATTACCTTCTTGGCAGATGAGAGGCTCTGCTGCTCCAGTGTACTGCCCTTGCATTCCCTAATTACAAAGTTAGCTTGTAGCAAAATCTTTTGTTCTGAATGGTTTATGCCTTCCCTGCGTAGATCACAGTTTGAACCTGGGTAAGTGTCTGTCTCCAGTGCACTGATTCTTGGCTTCTTTATGGATTTTTAATTTTTCTTGGAGTTTTATGGGCCAATAGCTGAAATTTATCTCTTATGCTGAAGAGGGCTTTGTCTCCTAAATGGAGGCAAATGTATTTGTAGAGAGATCTAAGCAGGAGAACACTATTACTTGGTGCAGCAAGGGAAAGCCTCTGCCTCCTGTTACCACAGAAAGCCATCCTTGCAGTCATCATTCCCCAACCATTGCTAGAGTCAAGTTTGCCTGCTGTACTGTGCAACAACTTCCCAGTGGTACTTTTATTTGAAATGCTAACTTCTTTTTTTTTTTTTTTTTTTAAATCATTATCTGGTTGAAAAAGTGCATATGTTTCTGTGCCCAGATTTTCTAAGGAATTAATGCACTAAGGGTTTGATTCACTGCTGCCTGGTTCCAGCTTTATGACACTGTTGCTCTGCTGACTACAAAGCAAAGCTTAAAACTGAAGTAACTGAGGATCTAAATGTGAATTGAAATGATGTTCATTCAGTTTAATTCTTCTTTACTGAGCCATAATACAAGCAACTAGCTGGAGGCAATAAGGAAATCACTGGAATTGCTTAGGTGGCCAAATTTGATACTTGGGATGGCTACCAGGAGATTTTGGAGAACACTCACAGCTTAATGCTCTTATGGGGTTTTTATGTCTCTTTTCTGATTCCAAGACCTGAAAGCATTTTACAGTATGAATGGATATTAAGGGCAAGGATTTAGTATCTGTATATTAAAATGTGATTAATAGTGGTGAAAAAAATGGAGCTCTTATCTACTGTAACAACATATTGAAACTAGAGATAATTAAAATGGCATCAAAATATGTAACATGGTTTTCTAAAAGACAACACTGCAGTCCACAACCAATCTTGCAGACGTAGATGCTTCTGCACACCTCCATAAAATCATTCATGTGTTTAAAGATGTATGGTTTTAAGCATCCTTCTGTGGGTTTAAGCATCTAATTTAGGTGCCTCCTCATTTCAAAATGCTTCCTTTAGTCATTCTGTTCCTTACCATATGCACCATGTAAAACAGCTGTGAAAACCCCTTACATAAAGAAACACTGGAAAATTTAAACCTATTAGAAACCTTCAACAAATACAGTTTATTCAGGAAGTTGCAATATAGGCTTGATCCAATGAGTTTGTCCCCATTGATTACGAAGTAAATACTATTTGATTGTATCACTTTATATTCAATAACAATCCACTGGTGTTACAAACAGAATCATTTAACAATGAGTAATGCTGGGTTGTAGATCTCTGCAATAAATTAGAATATCCTAATTTAATAGAGTATGATCTGTTATTTGCCAACAAACATACAGATTGCCTTTTAAATCATGCAGTACTGTGGTTATAGTATAACACTATACTGAATTATATTTCATTACTGCCTATTGAACAGTCATGTTTCTGCCATATAATGTAATTTTCCATCTTTTAACTTGGTTTCTTTTGCTAGCAGAAAATACAAATTAGTGCTGAGGAAAAATATTTACTGGGGGCAGGCAATTAACTCTGCATTGCAGGGAATGGCACCAAGGATGTGAAAATCATTAAAAAGCTTTTTTGTTTTTCCTCTCACTGTATGTAGCTGTTTATGTGTTTGATGATTCATAATGAGTATAAGGCCACAGATGAGGAAATAAAAATAAATAGGTAAGTCTAGAGATTCCTGTGGTTCCAGAAACAGGCTTTCTGTCATGTCTGTTCTTGTTCACATCAGTCACTGACACTTCAGAAAGAGGTTTCTCCTAAACCCCTCTTTTTAATTATTCAGAATACTTGAGGGAAAGTGTAATACATTTTTTATTATTCCATTATTATTATTTATCCTGCTTTCCTTGCTTATAATTCATATTAAGGAATCCTATGCTCCCAAAATATGGCACAGGAAAGGTTTGGAGGGAGACAGGCCTTTTTATGCTAATTAGAAAGAACTTAGAACTTACTGAGTAAGTGGGGTGGAATCAAAAGAGTTAAAATAACATTCAATCCAAAAAGAGAAAGGCTTATAAAAACTTAATACAAAGAGTGTGTCCCACTTTTTCAGCATTTTGGGAGAGGGATATATCCTAAATAATAACCTGGGTGGCTACAGTACTTAACAGCATATTTTCAGCACCTACTAAACTGAGGATGTCCTGCTGGATCTGGCAAGTGCCTAATTCAAGTTTTGAAATGTTCAGACATTGCTCTGGAAGTCCAATTTTGTGCTTAAATCCTTTCAAAAAGTTTGGCTAGGGATCTGTACTTTATTTCAGTGTATGATGGAAGCTTCTTGACTGGAAGTCCCAATAATATGAAGTTCAACATGTTCTTAAGGCCTCTCAAATCCAGAGGACCCGGGAACTTCAGGCTGACTTGTGCATGGGAGAAACACAAGGGTACATGTACAAGAAGTCTGCTAATCACAAAGTAAGATTCCTCGTGAACATAAGTAGCTCAAATACTACAGTAGCTACAAAAACCTGCACTTAACTGTTTTGTCTTTTTATTTCTTCAGGGGTTTCAAAATCTCCTTTCATCTTTTAAGATGGGATTCTCTAACAAGCTCAGCACTGGCCTCACACTGTTCCTGTAGACACCATTGGGGGTGTTATCCTGGACTTAGCAGGACTTAGAACAAACCTGAACAATTGGGAAAAAATCCCCATTGACCTGTTTTGCAGCCTCTGACATGTAAAAGTAAATCTTTAAAGGTTTAAAGGAGAAGTGACTTTTTTGTGTGTGTGTGAAAAAAAGAGGAAACTTCACCTGTAGAAATAGAATCAACAACAAAAAACCAAGCAAGCTTTTCTTTTGAATTATTAAAAAATGTAATGTGAGGTAGAACAGTCTTACAGGTCAGTGCCTGTTGCTGCTTGTTACTACAGGCTACCTGATTAATCCTGAGGGAGAGGATTCATTTCATCTTTAATGAGATCTGAGAGTATCCAGACTTCAGTCAGGAAATGGTCCAGTGATCCAGTCGTGGTGTAACCTTGCTGTATTTCATTTTCTTTTCTATTTATAGCTGGACAGTGCCACTTCCCTCATCCAGGCAGCTAAAAATCTGATGAATGCTGTGGTCCTTACAGTGAAAGCATCATATGTGGCTTCTACTAAATACCAGAAGGTCTATGGTACTGCTGCAGTGAACTCACCAGTTGTATCTTGGAAAATGAAAGCCCCTGAGAAGAAACCTCTAGTAAAGAGAGAAAAACCAGAAGAGTATCAGACAAGAGTGAGAAGAGGGTCCCAGAAGAAACATATTTCCCCTGTACAGGCCTTAAGTGAATTTAAAGCTATGGATTCCTTCTAAAACACTCAGCTTTACCAGGAGGGTTTTATATTCTTTTTGTATGCATACCTGCTGACTTGTGTGTGTCTGGCATGGGTGGGGGAAGCAGTGCCCATTTGCATGCTACCTGAGACTCTATTGAAGTAACTCTCTGCAATGCCAAAATTCAGGGCATTCTCTTCTGATCTTAAATGGACTTATCCCAAGCTTACTTTTTAAACTAAACCGTAGCCTTGAATTGGCCAAAGAATTTGCATCACTGGGGTACGTGCGAGTTAAATAATAAATTCAGATCTAAACCCAGAAATTTGTATGCATGCAGGAAACATTAGGTTGGCAGGTATATTAAGTGAATTAAAAAAAAAAAAAAAAAAAAAAAGGAATTGTAATGGTAGACCAAAAAGGCTTTTATTGCTTCTGTTCCCATGGAA